ATATTTGATTAAAATAATAATAAGAACACTAATATATCTTCCCTCCCAAGATTTATGCTGGAATCATCTGGTTTTAAGAGAACACCTAAAAAATGATATTAGGTTGGTGCAAAAATGATGTTGTTTTTTGACGTTCAACTTAACGTCAAAAACGACATTATTTTTGCACCAACCTAATATTTTAATTGTTGTTTGTTTTTCTGTTTGAAAAATTGTCAGATAAGGAATTGAAATATAATCTTTATCATCATTAGCTTTCCAAGAAAGAAAAATCTCAAAAGAATTTTTCAATTTTAGTTAATCAGTTCAAGTTCCTGCTTTTTTTTGCTTAACACCTTTGAATTCTGGATCTAAATTTGTTTTTCATTGACACTTATAATTGTTTATGAAGAAACTCTTCTGTTTATCAATAAAGGCCATGTCATATTTATATTCATTTATTGTTAAATGTTGAATGAGTTGAGATGTATAATCAGTTTGATCATCCTTGTAAATAATGCAATTTAGACACTTTCTATTTTACACCTCAGTTTATAAACTGTAAGAAAACATTTAAATCCAAACTGATTCTTTTCACAGTTTTTACCACAAAAGATAGATAATTGTTATTTTATATGATTAGAATGCAATCTGTAAATACCTGTGGCTTTTGCATTAGCATCAACCATAACAGTGTTTCTATATCAGAAGAAAGCCTAACATTTGGTACTATGCCAACCTTGACGATTATAACTACTTCCAAAAGATATTTATATACAACAGAATAAAATCTAAATCCCTTTCTTACATTTTTCTTGCAATTACCACCTTCATTGATTTTATTTTCCACACAAATCTCATCTATTTGTGTTAATTTGATCAATTTTATCAAACCATTTTTAACAGATTCTTCATGTCCATTAAACAAATCTTCAGTAAGTTCTATATCAAGCAATTAAATATTAATAGTTGCAGACTTATAACCCACATATTGTTTTGATAATTTGCTTGTCAGACAAGCATAAACTATCATTTTTTTTGTTCAATGTTGTGCTTTGAAAAGTCCATAGTAGACACATAAGCAATCTTGACCTGCGTAAAGATGTGAAAATTATATTTACAATAAATAAAAATTAAGCAAACTGGCATTGCGTGATACTGGGACCTCAGAGAGTTAATAAAACAAGAAAGAAAAAAAAGAAAAAAATGGAAGAGGAAAAAACTACTAACTGGATGATAATTGTTGAATTCCACAGGAAAGTGGATTTAAAAGTTGAGAAGAAAATTGAAAACAAAATGCATTGAAAAATCATGTTTCAAAATAATAAACTGTAAACTGAGGCTGTAAACTTCAGAAAAGGATCCCAGTGTCATTTGATTATAACAGTAAATGAGAAGGATTAAAACTGCTGTATACAACAAATCATATATAAACCAAATTGTTGTTACATTTTTAATCCAAGTTAATTCTTTATTCGAAAGAATTCTTTTTGTGTAGCTCCTTGATGTCAACCTATCCTTCGCTTCAGTTTGCTTCATCATTGATTTTCTCACCCTCTGAGATCAAAAACACAACATGACAGAGGAGTGAAGGATCATGAAGCAAAAAAACATCAGCTAGATCAAGTGGAACCACGCTCATCAACATGATACCAACAACAAATCAGCAATGTGTTAACGAGTGAGGAGTCAGCTAGATGGTAACCACAGTTCTCTGAAGGAACTTGATGACCAATGCAGGAAAAAGAGCTACATTATTGATTGTCATTGACCAGGATTAACCCAGGGCTACAATTGTAAAGGCACAAAATGGCTAAGAAATATTGCATTGATTAGAATTAAGGAATTGTTATTAAGACAAAAAAATATTATTTGACAAACTTTTAATTTATATAAAGTTTAGATATAGTCAAAATTTAAATGAACTTTAAAAAAATGCAAATCCCTCTTGCATTATTTGTCCCTAGTGTGGATCATTTTTTTTTGTCAGTATTGTAGAAAACCAGTGTGTGTGGAGGGTGTGTGGGGGGTGCTGGGTTTTATCTTTATCTTTGGATTTTTTGGTCTCTTGCATCTTCTCACTGAATGATTGATTTATCTCCAAATACTTGGATAGAGATTCTCTTGATTTTGCCACAAAACAAAAAAGGGAGTATCACACTCATTCAATATTTTTTTTATTTCCAAGATGGCTGACCTTAATGTCAGAAGATTCCAGTCTCTTGTGGAAGGATTCAAAGTCTCTTTTTGACTACCATTTACATGCCATAGAAGAATGCATTATATATATATATATATATATATATATATATATATATATATGTGTGTGTGGGTGTGTGTTTGTGTATAAATAAATTCTTATGATGAATGTGATGGAATTTGAATGTAAATTGTAAATGAACCAAGATGACTTGCATAACATCTTTGTTGTAATAACATTTATTAAGGTTTTCTTTGTGTAAAAAGTTGCAGACAAACTAGCCAATCTGACAATGATTCATAGTTAGAAAGGATTGCATTAACTGTTCACTGATTTTTGTTTGTTTCAAAAGAAAAACAAAATCTTTTTCTCTATATAATTTAACTTCTTGCAAGTTTGCAAATCTTTGAGTTTATCAACAATTATTCAAACAATTTCCATCATCTCATTTTATAAAACATTTTAAACTAAGATATCTCACAAAGTTAAACAATTTGATCTCAGAATAAAGTGTTTATTCTTGACAATATAAATTGATTTAATTTAAAAAAGGATTGTTGAATGTTTTCACCAGTTTGAAGAACAGGTTTTTTAAGTATATAACTTTTAGAATTTCTCATGTCATTTTCATATATATATATATATATATATATATATATATATATATATATATATATATATATATATATACATCAAGATTATTATATATATATATATATATATATATATATATATATATATATATATATATCAAGATTATTTATTGGGGTAATGTTTTATTTTCTGCTGCTGCTCGAATAGTTAAGATAGTTATGGAGAGTGGTTTACCAAATACTCACTTACCCACCTTATTCTCCATCAATTATCATGGCATCCCAGAAATAAGATCTGGAGATGGAACAACTCAGATTGATGCCTTTTCCCCCTCCCCCCTAAAAGCATTTAAATTAAACATAATCAGCTTTGACTAGAATTGGAAGCCATAATTTTTCACAGGTTGTAGGTTACTTTGGTGGTAATTATAATTAGAATGTCACTAACTTGCTTATTCCACAAGGAAACATCTTCAGGACATGGGCAATCATGACTCTCCACAACTTCCTATTCTTCGTAGCTCTAAGCAACATACCTCCCAGGTTCTGTTCTGCCATCCATTTAGAGAAGCTTGTGAGGTGAAGTAGGTTACTTGCTTTTTCTCTCTTGCCTATTTATGTCTTGTGACAAATTCTCAAAGCCCTCTTTCCTCCTTATATACTTTTGAAATTTCAACTGTTACTTTTTGAATCTCTTTATAAGTGTCTTTTTGTTTCCTTTTTCCAGAAAATTTCCTTGTTGCTCATATGTTCCAACCATGGTATTCTCAGAATCCTTCTGTAGAACCACATCCCCACTGCTTCAAGCTTCCTCTTCCTATGTGAGGAAATTGTCCAGCATTAACTGCCATATAGGAGGATCGCTATTAAAAAGCAGTTCAGACTCTTTTCTTTGTTTCTAGTAAAATTTTGCTGTTTCTTCATACTTTGTTTAGCTTTTGAAAGGCATTTTACACTCTTCCAATAATGCACATTCAAATTTCTGAGCCACATTTTGCATTGTCTATTAAAACACCTCCCAGATTGTTAAATTTCTATGCTTGCTAAAACTAAAACCTTATCTTCAAAGATAAAATCAATGTGGTTCAATGTGAGGTTAAATCCCATTTCATGTGAATTATTAAACATGTTTCTTATTATTAAAAGAGTAGATTTTCTTTTTGAAAAAAAAAGCTGAAAAAATGATTCTTAAGAAACAAGATGGAAACAGTAGAGTGTGTCTTGAATTTCAATTAAATGTCTATCAAATCTGTTATAAGCAATAATTAAACTCTTAAGAGAGAATTTTTTCAAAAATCTTTATCTACTTTTTTGTTCAACTATTTTTCAATTGTGCTTGTGGGCGTGTGGTACTTACATGTAAATTCATGTATAAGAATGTTTCATACAAATGTTTGGAAATATTTTCTTTTTGAATGTATAAGAATAAGGTACAGTGTTATAGGTATGTGCTGGTGACCTTGTCCTTGGTCTTTTTGAATTGCTTGCAACAATCCATTAGGAAGGGCTGTCTGCTTGGATGCCTCGATGGGGTTGAGGTGGCGTTGTTAGTAACATATTGACATTTTTGTCTGCTTGTTGGTTGTCTTTCTTCTTTAGTTAACAAGTTCATCGTGACCAGTAAAACTCAAATTATGCCATTACACATTTTGTAATGGATTAAATAGTTTATGGCATGGAAAAGGAATAAATAAATGGTAGACATTTGACTATTTTGTGAGTTGACTCTAAATATAAAGTCTTTTTACCGTTCAAGAACTGTTTTATGTAAATAACTTTGCTTTGATTTTTAAAACTAGTCACTGTTAACAAAATTTCTATATTTCATGAAATATAAATTAACAACTTTTATTTATTTATTTGCTAGTTTTTTGCTTTTGCCACAACTGTTAACTGATTATTTTGAATAAAATGCTGACAAAAATTTTAAATCTTAAATTATATTTAGTAAAAGTTGTTTAAAATTATATAAACTTCATTGGTGAAGATTTGAATAAATAATCAATTTCTCAGTTTTAAATTCAATATTTGAAAAAAGAGGATATATGGTGAAGTGGTGTAATGATTGTCTTAACCCATAGCTGGGAGGAGAAGAGGTGAATTCATACTTTTTCCAAGGGGATTTTCAAGTAAGGGAATATAACGAACCCAACCAGAGTTGGAACTCAGCTCTCCAATTAACAATTCCAAGCTATTATCCATTACACCACCCACACATCCAAGCTTAAAGCAACTGGTATTCCCAAGTGGTCACCCATCTATGTATTTACCAGGCTTAATGTTGCTTAACTTTGGTGATCATATGGAAGCTGGTGTTTCAATGTGATGAAACTGTAAGCTAGAAGATATAGAACGACGGAGCCACATTCACACAAGGGCTAAGCGTGTAATTCTACATGCTTTAGCTTTTGTATTGTACAGCTTGGTTTTGTTTTCTGTTTTAAGAATGAGTCTCTTTCAAAGAGAATAAATGAGATATTTTCTGTATATCAGGAAAGGAAGCCCAAGTTACAGCTGCAGTTTCACAATATGTTTTGTTTTATTCTTTACAGCCCTTCTTATCTGCGGTACCTGTATCCATAAAAGTTACCTTCGGAAAACTTCATATTGTGCTAGTTTGGCTAACTCAGTGACATGTTAGTGTAATGTTGTACTATTAATGTGCAATGTCTGATTTCTCATCTTTTGGGGTCACAAATTCTGGTTGTATATTCTTGTTTTAAACCAAGGTAGGAAATGAAGTTCTTTGTGACTTAAGTTATCAAACGCTTTTTTTTGTTTGTATCAGGAAAATCTATTTCAAAATTAAAGTTCACTTCTTACACTTTATACAGTGAGCATATCAAATAATGCTTAGTTTATTTGGCAATACTGTTTTCCTATCCTCGCCAGTTTGTTGACAAGAAATTCCAACATGTTTGTGAAGCATGCACACGCACACACACAAAGGCAAATCCCTTGTTTGACTGACAAAAGCAGAACATACATCTTTCATATAAGGAACCACAAAATTGATGAAGTACATTTTTTAATAAAGCCATATGTTGAGTATATACAATCTAAGAAACTAAATTCTTTTTCTTTCATCTTCAATATCTATCACATTTATTATTTTTTTTATATTACCATGCCACTTCTCATGCATTTCACTATCATAAACAAATGTAGACAAATGTGCCTGCAATCAGATGGAGTGTCAAAAGGACAGTTTTTCCCATGACACAGCTTTTTTAAATAGTGTCACTCTTCGCCAATGTTTATTGTTTGAAAAACTGATGATTAGATTTCTAATAAAAGCTAAACATAAGGAATTGAATTTATACATTTTCTTTCTTCTTGAGAATTGACAAAAACAAAAATAATAATTATTTATTTATTATATTGTTTATTGGAATCATTGGTAAAATATTAGCAAATTGCCAATCCAAACTTTATAAAATGGTAAATAATAAGAATTTCCTTATAGTTGGTTTACACATTTTAATAATTTAGTAAATGTTTATAAATTTATGAATAAAAAATAGTTTTCATATTTATTTCTTTATAAACTGGCAAATATTAAATATTGCATTGCATTAGTTTTAATTCTGTTAGTTTTTAGAATATTGTAAATATAAAATTAATCTTATATTTTGGTCTCTTTACTTATTTATATTTAGACAAGAATTTGATGATTTAATGAAAAATTTTTGAAGCTACAATATTTTCTAGGAATTCATTATTTACCAAATAAAATAAACACAGGATTTCATGAAGACAAGGAAATGATGATGAATCTTTTAAGACAGAAATATTTCAATCAATTCAAATGTCATTTACAGTGAAATAAAAAATAAGGGCAAACATAGACAAACGTGCTCATAATAAGATGTCATGCCTAAAGGATGAGTTTTCTCATGAAATCATTTTTTTAACTACCTTCACACGCCTTGGCAATGTTTATCATTTTAAAAAGCAATGATTTGAATTGTGATAAAACCTACACACATTATGAAAATAAATTTATATATTTTTTGTTCTTGAGAATTTACAACATAAATATGAAATACTATTCATTTATTAGATTGTTTATTTACAAGAATAATTTTATATTTAGAGCATTTTAAAAACTAATACAATTAACACTAATGCAATTTAATATTTATCATTTATCAATTTATAAAGAAATAAAATTGAAAACATTTTTTTTATTTATAAACATTTAGTAAATCTTTAAAATATGTGTACCAATTAAAAGGAAATCATTATTATTTACCATTTTATAAAGATTTATTATTTACCATTTTATAAAAGTTCAAATTGATTGGCAATTGGCCAATGTTTTGCCAACCATTCCAATAAATAAGATAATAGGGTAAATAAACAATTTAATAAATAAAAAGTATTTATAAAGAAAATATATAAATTCATTTTAATCATATGTTTAGGTTTTATTCCAATTCTAATCATTGCTTTTTTAACACAATAAACATTGCCGAAGGCTGAAGATAGTTAAAAAAAAAAATTGTGTGATGGGAAAAACTATCCTTTTGACAATACATCTTAATGCAGGCATGTTTATTCATGTTTTCCCACTAGTCTTTTAGTCTTGACTTTGGTATACCAAAGAATGAGTAGTGGAGTTGCAATTTAATGTTGTCAGTTTGTGTTTGTTTTAAGAGAGGACGTGAAAAAGATAAAAATTGAACCAAATGCAATTGTTCCTTGTGCTTTTAATGGATTGTCATGAGAATGAGTTGATAAGAAATTGTAATAAATGAATGATTTTATTGAAAATTCACTTATTGTCTGTTTTGTCCATCTTGGTGAGGGCTTTTTGAAATGTGATGTCATTGTAAGTGACCACCATAAAAAAAATGAATTGCAGTAGATGAAATTTGATGTTCATATTGATATTTGTTTGCAAGACCAACGAGTGTCCATCAATTTTATCAGCCTCTTTTTATAAGAGCAAATTGAATATGGACATAGAGAAACCTAAGATGTGAAGCTAAAAGCCAAATTGACTACATTACCATTATTAAAAGATTCAGGAATGCAGTTTTAAACTGTAAAATATACCCAAGTACTGAGTGCGTGAACAACCACATTTCAGGAACATGTAACCATATACACAAGCTGAAGTGGGCCAAGGCTGTACCGAAATTACAATATGGCAGACTTCTAGATGACCTGAAATTGAAGGAGCTGTATAAGGAGAGCATTAAAAACAGATACAATGAACTAAATGAGAATGAAAATTTGAAGTGGAATACATTCAGAGATGTGTTAGTAACATCAGCAAATGAGACCATTCCTAAGAAAAGGAAAGGATGGCAGATAAAATTCTCAACTTGCTGATAAGGAGACAGAAAACAATGCCAAGGTATGGAAGAGAATATGGGACACTGCACAAAGAAATTAGATACAAATGCAGATAGGCAAAAGAGGAATGGCTCAACAAAAAGTGTGCTGAAATAGAAAGAATGAGCTTCACTAATGCATAAAAAATAAAAAAAATAACAGGACAAAAGACATGCTCATCAACAGTACTAAATCAAAAAACAGGCCACTGATAAAAAAAAAAGAAAAAAAAAATGCTTAAAAGATGGAATGAATATATCAGAAATCATTACTATGATGAAAAATAAAAATCTGCAATAAACAAAAATATGGAAGGACCAGAAATATTAAAGTCTAAAGTGAAATCAGCACTTGACAAATTGAACAGAAATAAGGTAGAAAGAATTGTAATGGATATGCTGTAAGCTTTAGATGATTCTGGAATTAACAAAATTACAAACTTTTAACAGACATATATGACAGTGGTACTATAAGATCTAAGTAAATCAATTTTTATAATGCTACCCAAGAAGCCAGGTGCAAACAAATGCAAATTCCATTGAATAATCAGTCTAATGAGCCACATGATAAAACATATGATCCAAATTCTAAAGAGAGCATAACAAAATTAGATCATAAATAGGATGAGAACAGTGCAGTTTCCTTAAAGACACTGGAACAAGGAATGTAATATTTATTCTCATTATAATATATGAAAGAGCAATAAAATTTAAAAAGAGAACAAAAAAAAGCGTTTGATAACTTAAGTCACAAAGAACTTCTAAGTAAGTGTATTTGGGAAAGATATTAGAATAATCCAAAGGTTATACTGGGAGCAAACGACTTGCTTATGGGTAAAAAATGAATTCAGTAAGTACACAAAAATAGAAAAGGTTAAAAGACAAGGACGTGTTTTCTCATTGTTCTTATTCAACCATTACAGTGAAGTGATTCTGAGAGAACACTAACCCATAACCACAATCTTAATATCATTAAATATGCAGCTGACATAGTGTTGATAGCAGACATAGAAAGTAAACTACAGGAATTCCTACAGAAGGAGCTTAAGGAAGGTGAGAAAAAAGGACTAAGCATCTCTATGGTTGTCTGCAAAAGGAACAGCCCAAAATATGAACCATGAATTGGAGACATCAAAACCAAGCAAATACAAAAATTTAAATAGTGAGGAAGTGTTTTAACAGAGTAATGAAAATGCAACAGAAATCTGAAGATGCATTGGAATAGTGAAAGATACCTTTCAAAAGTTAAGCAAAGTATTAAGAAACAGGAAAATTTTGTTAGAAACAAAGAAAAAAGTACTGGACTGTTATGGAATATCAGTCCTCCTGATGCTGAGAATGGCATGGACTGATCATGTGAGCAACGACAAAATTTTAGAGAAAATGGAATCAAAAATGACATTCATACTTAAAATTAGAAAGAAACAATTGAAATTTCAGGGACACATAATTCTCACCTAATGAGGAAAGAGAGCTTGGAAAATTTAACACTCAGAGGAGGTAAGAGGGACAGGGGAAAGCAGTAAATGACCTCCCTAACGGTTGGCAGAAGAGGGGTTAGGAGAGATAGCAAAAAAAAGATTGGTAAGAGCTACAAGGGACAAGAAGTTGTCAAGAATGATGATCGTCCACATCCTGAAGGGATACAGCACATAGAAAAAAAAATAAAATAAATAAAAAGAAAGTCAATCCAAAGAAAAGCTAACAACAGATTGGTTAGAATAAATATAAAGAAGTGCTGAAAAGTTCTCAGCCTGATCCATCTAAAATCAGTATTTGTCTATTTGGTTATTGAGATGTTGATTTTAGGAAATGGATCAGGCTGAAAACTTTTCAGTATCCCCTTGTATATTTTTGTAACCAGTTCTGATTGTATAAAAATGATAGGAAACAAGAGAATTTATTGACATTTGTACTTAGTTGTCATCACAGTCAATAGAAATTTTGAATAATTGTGGTAAAAATCAAATTTAGAATTTTACAAAGTTTTCATATGTAAATTGTAAAAAGGTATGTGTAAGTAAGTTGATTTGTTTCGTAGATGTATCTTTGCATAAACAATCTTTTTATTTAAAATTTATTGTCCTCATCTTTTTAATTGAAATGTTCATAGAAATGGACATGTGGTTGATACAGAGAAACTTTATACTTTTTATAGTATATATTATTACTTACAGTACAGGAAAAAGGGAAGTATAAGCTTCAAGAAGAAGCAGAGGCATCTTGTTTCAGTTGTCTGTGAGTTTTCTGATCTCTAGCTACTCTCTGGTGGTGAGATGGGCTGGCATTTCAGTTGACTGACCCTGACATATTCTGAGTTAACATTTTTAACATCTCATAATCCGTTTTCTACGACGTTCGTAAATTTTTCATCTTATTTTAAATTTAATTTTTGTTGGCCTTTTCTCGAATCCTACTTTTCATTTTTTTTGTGGCTTTTTTACTTTCTTCTTTAGTCTTGCTTCTTAACTCTTAAATGATAAATCTTTAGCACCCTATAATTAGTATTTTATTTTTCATTTTTAAATTTTGATAATTACTATTAAAACAAATTTTAAATAACTCCTAATAGGAATTTCTGTTTTTTTCAACTTTAAAATTTAAATCAATACATAAGCTTAAATTTCTTAAAAATTATTTCTTTGTGATCACTAAATTATTTTCTTAATCAAATTAAATAACAAAGATTACGTTTATCAAGCATGAAGGAATTTTTTTTACTCTAAGAAAGTAAGTAAATCGTTTTTTGGGGTTTTTTGCGGGGGTGCGGGTATCAATAAAAAGCTGAGAAAAATAAGATTTTGATTAATTAATATATTAATTATAATTTTTTAATTAATGACTTTTTAAGAAAGGCATATTTTTTTAAAACTTTAGATTTCGTTTAAAAATGAATATTTTTATTTTGTCTGAACTTTCCAAATTTAAAGAAAGTTGATGATACAGACTGAACCTTTACATTTTTTTATGTATTTTTGTTTTTGATAATGTTACTTAAAAAAACCCGTTTAGCATTTAAGAACTAAAAAGCAAAGAGCTTGTATGTCTAACGACAATTGTACACTAACATTTTTGTTTTTAGTTTGAAAATTTATAAAATAAACATAAGATTAAAAAAGGATGAAACGCGTCTCAAGAAAACTTTTTCCACTTTGTTATACATTTTCCCCCCAAAATGAAGTTAAAAAATGTTTGTAAGTTTACTTTAAATGAATCAATAATAATATTTTGCAAATAAATTTTCTTGTTTCACTATTAAATTTTTGTTCGGTATATCTTTTTATTTCTGTTGGTTTGTGAAAGGTCGAAAATCAGATTTGTTAATAATCTATTACTAAAAAGAATTTATAAAAAACTAAAGAAATATTTTTTAAACTAAAAAAGCATTTTTTTTTCTCCATGAGAAAATGTACAAGTGAAGTTAGAAGTATATGACTAAAAAAAATAATACCTAAATAAATTTACATAGGACTAAGATTTTTACTTTTTTTTTTTTTTATATTTTACTTTATGTTCTCATTGACGAAAATTGATAAAAAATATAACTTTGTTTCAAGTTAATTACAAACATTAAAAAAAAAAATTTCCTGGGACCAGTTTTTTTACTTTTACAAACCTTGTAGAGCCCATTTACTTTGCGAACATCTCCAGAACTTTTGTATAAAAGCCCTACACACCAAAATAGTGACCTTTTGAATGAAATAAAAACAAACTGTTCCTACTATCTGAAATTTTTTTCCTTTTTGACTTTCTTCTCATTTAAGTATTTCGCCTCTAAAACACCTTCCCTCGGTGATCATTTCTCCTCCCGCTCTTAATAGATAATAGATTTCCAACCCACACATATGTCACGCTTCTTACCCTTCCTCTCTCTCTTTATATTCTGACCATCCTTAGTTGGGTATAATATACACACTGACACTGGCAAAACAATACAGTGGTACAATTTTAAAGGCATTTGTGAGATTTGTTCAGTTATTGGTTTTTATCTCCTAGTCCTATGACAACACCTGGGCGGTGGTGTCAGTCACTTTGTCAACTCTTAAAAAACGTCGACGACTCGATGTATGTCTGCTTTACCTAAAAACTCTTTCCATGACAGCTGCCCTGAAATGGCAGCAAAACTGCTAAGGTTTTTTAAACAAGTGAGTTTATTCATTCGTCATTTATTTATTATAAGTTCACTTTTAATTTCTCATAAATGCCAAATAATTTTCTTTTTTTATTCATTCAACAAGTTAACTGACAAAGTCAAAATCAAACTTTCAACTTTTTTTTAATTTTTTATATTTATTTTTAAATTTTTTGTTGTTAAAGAAATCTCAAAGTTAGTTTTTTTTTTAGTTAAGACTAAAATTTATATTATAAAACTTTGAACAGTAAATAAATAATTATACTTTTTAAATTACCAATGAAGTTCCTGTCTTCAGATTTTTTAAAAACTTTAAATGAAAACGTTAACTTTATGAAACTTTGGAAAAATCTAATTGAGATTTTACAGACTTGTGATCTTGCTTAAACTTGATGAAATGATTACAAATATTTAGTTAGTAAAACTTAGTACAATGTAATGTATATTATCGTGTAAAAATGCGGAATAGGTAATTTCATTACTTTTTAAAAAAATGGAAATAATTATTTGATTGATTAATAATAGCAACGAACTCCTCTTGAAATTCTGAATACATATTCTATTGATTCACAAATAAACCCCCATTGATGATGAGTTCTGTATATGTATTTTTTTTTAGTTTTCTTTTAAAAAAAAGTCTTTTTAGATGGTGCCAAGAGACCTCAAAGAAAATTTTCCTTCAGTGGGGGGGGGAGGCTTTATTTCTGCATCTTTCTTTATCTATCGATATTATTGAGGGTCTTTAAACGACTAGAGGAGATATAGACATATTTTTAGTTAACAGTAACACGTGTTCGACTGAATGTTCTCCCTACAAACAACCATAAAAAAATAAAATAAAAGTTTTTCTTTAACTTCTAGAGATTGTCTCAAACTCAAAGGTACATTTTTTAATTAGATTTAAAATTTATGGAATACACGGAAAATTAAATTCATTAATCATGGTTGCGAGACTGGTCTGTTTATTGCTTTTATGCACTCGATCACCTTTTGATATATAATTGAATCAAATTCGGAAAACACGTTGGTCTCGGTCAAGTTCATGATCAACAGCTTGCAAAAAAACTAAACACAAACATTTAATTTCTTTCTTTCGTCTGTTGCTTTTTTGCACGTGATCATAAAAATTGTAAAGTTTAAATAAAATTTCTGTTAATTTCATCTGTTATTACTTTTTTAAAGAACGAGAATTTAATGAAAATACTTAGACTTGTTACATGTTTTTAGGAAGTTGTAGAGAGCCATGATCGCTGACGTCTTGAAAGGACATGGCATATCACTGTTTTTTGTTCTTGTCTGTCAGTGTTTAGTATATTTCTCCCTAAAATAATTCCTATTTGTTTTTTTTTTTTACAAATGGACCAATGTATTTAAATAGTTCCGCCTTTTCTTTTCTTTTTTAGTGTTACACTTTCAATTTCTCCTCGTAATAAATCAGGGCAATGTATTTTCTTTTTTTTTTCTTTTCGAGTTTGGGATGTCGATTTATTTGAAAGTTAAAAGATAAACGTCGTACAATAAATAAATAAATCCATACCACACTTCACTTTCTTTATTGAATAAGTTATTTCTTTGGATTTTCCATTTGATCACCCCCACCACAAAAATTTCAGTTTTTTTCTTAAGTTTCTTGCTTTTTGAGTTTACTTCACGGTATTTGTTTGTCTCTTTCTTCCTAAATTGATTTATTTATTTTTTTAAAGATAGACAATGTAAAATTCATTGACTTGGGCAAATGGTTAATAATGGAATGTTTTATTGTTTTAAAACTGAAACTAGTGAAATATTAAAATAATTTGTTTTTTTTTTTCTTGTTACCCGACAACGTGTAAAATTACGAATAATTTCTATTGGACCCACTAAATGGTGTCTGAATTTTGGAAAAAAAAGTTATAAAAATGTTAATTATACCCAGCACTGTTTACATTGAACTGAACTTCATAAAATTGCTGTTTTTAAAGCCGATCCATTCTTCAAATTTCGTCAGGTGTTTAAGAAGGAATTCAATTGTCTGTTTTTCAGGAAAAAATATGGCGACTAAAAACCATACCAATCCATTGCAACAGCGCTATATCAAATTGGTTTATTAATATGACTATGAGTTTTATTTTATCTGTACTGGAAATTTTTTTTCTCACGAAATACAGTTGACTAGGGCAAAGATGGGATCAGTTGAACCGCTGTGTTAATAACAGTAAATATACGAAAACTAGGTTCAATTGTCAGATCAATGTTTGGTTGGGTAGCACTATGTCAATGTTTGAGTTAAAAACTCAATCTAACTCTGTTGGATAAAATTATAAAAACAAGTTCATTTGTACTTCTGTGTCATGTTATCATGAAATTTAAAATTATGAAAATAGATTTAAAAAATATTTCTTTTTAATTATAAAACTAAAAAAAGGCTCATGAAATTCTGTTGTGATAACTAAAATTAACAAGGATCTTTATTTACATAACTTGAAGTGGATAAAAAAAGCAAAATTAAAAAAAAAATGTCACATTAAAATCATTAAATGATACTAGTAACTAATCTTTAACTAAATGCAAATACCCTTTTTTAGGAAAACCTGTAGATATTCAAACCTAATTGTTGTTTTTTCATGGTTAAATTGCGTAAAAAAAATCTTAATGAATGTGAAAAGACATTTTGCTGGCAAGCTTGAAACATTTTGTTTGATCTACTTTTAAGAAGTTTGAAGGGCTAATCAGAAGAACTTTGCTAAAATAATTATTTGTTTATTATTCTGTTTTTACCATTTTCTTTGTAGCAGTTTTTTATCAGTTCATTCAAGTTCATTTTAATACTTAAACAGATTCAACTTCCAGTATGTGATAGGAAGAACACTCAGGACATCTTCTCCATGAAAAATATTTACTTTCAAAAGTGCTTTTAATTTGTTAAATGACAAGAAAAAAATGTATGATACAATTTATTTCTTTTATTTTGTCTGGCATTTTTTTTTTTTTTAAAAAGTGTAATTATTATTATTATTATTATTATTATTAAAATTGTATATTTCAATTCAGATAATAATGTAATTCTTGCTATTAAAATAGCACCCACCTCTCTTTCAGCTTTTTGCTTTTCTGTCAACTATAATCTTCAAAGATTTAAATGCAACATCAATTGCCATCTTCTGTCTTTTTGAATCCAGTTCCTTTTATTGTCCTTTCTCCTCAGTAATGTTTTCTCTGTCTCCTTCACTCTCAGTAACCCTTACATCTTAGTGGCTTTATTGCCTTGCTTGGGATGGAATGAAAAAAAATAAATAAAAAAATAAACATTTTCTTTTCCAATATGAAAGAGCCTAATGCTTGATGGTGGCAATGCTTCATCTCTTTACAGTTTACATTAAACTTGTAATTATTACTTTGTCAAAAAAAAATGCTGTGTTATCATTTTATTATTTCTTTGCTGAATACATAACAATGTAGTTTTCATGTTGGTCTTAATTTCTTCATATTTTAGTCGTTAGTTTCAAATTAGTTTCTCTGTTTCATTTTTACAGTTTGATCTTTTTGACAATGAAAACATATTATTGATAGTCATTAAAAGCTGATCAGATCTTTGTCACTTTAAGTAGTAACCCTAACTGTGTAGAAAATGAAATTAGTACAGCACAATGATCCAAGATGGGTTATCTAGAAAACTAACATTTGAAATATTGAATTTTATCTTGACTTGAACTATCATCCATGGAAATCAGGCAATTCTAATCCATCAAATAAGCTTTTCATTTCTATATTTGTGTGTAATCTCTTTCTACAATATCTGAATTTCATGTTTTAAACTAAACAAAAATAATGTAAAATGAATTTCTCACTATTGCATGAATTGGTGTAGTCATTGGTAGATGATTACTATATACTCCAGGGATTAAACTAAGAAAAATTGTGTGCCCCTTATAATTTATACTAGCCATTGATCATATAAACATTTTTCAGTGTTGGTGGATCATGTTCTTTTCATTACTGCACAAAATGAGGATGAAACACTACACATTTATTTTGTATCCTGACAGGGCTATACCACCACTACCGCTACTACTACTAATATTATTTTTATTCAGACAGTAAAAACAGAAGGATGATTGTATTTTTTACAAACCTCAGTTCTGCTTAAATATTATGAAACCTCTTGTAGGTTTTTTTTTTTCTTGGCTCATTGATGAAACTTAGTATGAAGAAAGTAAGAACTAAAATTTGGTAAAAGCTTCCTTGATATTTTTGGATAATAAATTCTTGGGTGATAATAACTAATTGAATTTTACAAAATTGGTTGGATTTTCTCTATTACTGAATTTAATAATCAAGTTAGAACAGGAAATTTTATTGAACTACTATAGATAAACATGAGAAGTAAGATCTTGGCTATATAAGAAATGTTATCATTTAATTGCTTATAGACAGTGCTATGCTGTTTTAGTATTTTCAATAATTTTTATTATGATTGACCTTGAAATCTGGTGTAAAGAAATTTCAGTTATGGGATTATATTTTTAAAAAAATTTGTTTGTGACTAAATTATTCTAATTAGAGTAAAAAGTGAGTAAAATAAGGAATAATATTCAAAGATTGTCAAATACAATGAACACCTGAGGATAGTAGAACAGTTGTTACAAATATAGTATTATAAACCAGCATTTTTCAATCTATGGGTCTCAACCCTTCAGTGGGTTGTGAGATAAATAAAATGGGTCACAACAAAAAAGAAAGAAAGAAAAAAAATACTCAAGTGAGAGCAAATTGTAGAATATAAACAATTCTAAATCTTGCACAGTACTCATAAATCACTGCTAGTTTTTAACCAAGATAAGCTCGTATTATATTTTATGGTTTTTAAATATAATTATATACAGGGTGCAATGGGTAAATTGACGCTATTTTATATTTTTAATTTCATGCATGTGCAATGTTTGTTTTTGATTTTGTCGACTACACAGTATAGTAGGGTCAGTTGTGCACTGTCTGTGAGAAAAAGAGCACCATGACACAATTCACTATGCCAGA